CGTTTTGTGTGATACCTTCTATTCAGGTTGAGACCCTCTTCATAGTCTAGCGAGAGTCTAGTAGTGTGGATATATTTATGTATGGATTATTAGTTATTGTTGAACTATTGAGTATGTACATGCGTATCGAGTCTCTACTTAGATTGTAGTATGATAGAACTTGTTCGTGGGCTTGATCCACTCCTCTTTTTCAGGTGTACGTCAGTTCCAGGCTTGAGCTTGTTCGTGCTAAGCAGAGACGATCTTCCACTCTACCGACGATGTAGGACTTCTTTCCAGATAATAGATTTGGATTTTATCTTCAGCTTTACTTTCATTTCAGTTTGGGATTTTTATTAGGGGTTCACTAGGGATGGATTCCCGAGTTGTTTAACTTATGAAGTTTTGGTTTATCGAATTTTAAGTATTTAAATTATTAAGGATTATCTTTTAGTTTTCTTTCAGCTCTTAAATTTTAATTCTTATTTCATTTAGTAATTTGTGTTCGTTATAACATATTAATTGCTTGATATTTGCCTCAGGTTTGGGATTGGGCCTAATCAACCCGTGTCTTGGATCCGAGGGGTATCATATCATCCGCCACTTCCTTCTCATCACCTGAAAAATGTAATAATATGATGGGGTGAGCCTGCCACTCAGTAGGAGGTATCTAAAACACACCTCTTAATGACCCCATGAATCCACATAAAGAATAGAGTACAAGTAAACGGGATCATACTTCGGAAAAACAAACAAAGCAACAATACAACAACAAGAATGTATATAAATCATCCGACCACCAAGTATACAACATATGTCAAGAAAGTGCAATGTCATGCAATGTCTCTCCTCGTTTCCGAAATAATACCGTTTCATCTTTCGAAACCGTTAGTGCAATCTGACTCATGGCGACTTCATAACGTCATAAAAGGAGGATTGACTAATTATCTCTGACCATATGGCAACTTCAAGGCGTTATTAAAGGGTCTAGGTAACTCAACCACGTTAGGGTCTCTCTCTAGTCTCCTTTAGATTACACTAACACCACGAACCACTAGGCGACTCCTAGGTGTCTGGATTTTCGCAAACATTTTTTAAAAAAAAATATTTTCTCAAAATAATTTCATTTACTTTTGAAAACACTTTTCCCTTTCTTTTTTTTTTTCTTTTTTTTTCAATGAATACATGAATGCTTCATGTTTTCAAATGCCAATTCAATAATGGAACCTCATACAAGCCATAATTTCTTAACTACACATTTATACATTATACTTTTAATTGAACAATTTAGACACAACGAACATATCATAACATAAATTAAATACATTCCATCATATACACTCAAAGAACATAAATTTGGCCAATTACTCAAATGAATCACATTGTCATATAAAATCCCTAATTACCACAAGTAAAATAATTAAATTAAACATGTTTAAAAGTAATTTAAGGAAAGAAAATTCACTAGAACCAAAGAATTTATGAATTAGAGTACCCCTACCTTAAATAAATGAAAAGTCTCAAATTACATTTGATAGAGAAAAATAACCCTAGCCTATCTTGACTTAACGAAAAAGGGAATTAAATATTGACCGGCCACCAGATTTCTCCAACTCTCAGACGAGAATATCTCGTTATTAAGGATAACCATTCTATTAGATAAGAATGATGACAAATCGTATCTAGGATATGATTTGTCATGGGGTAAGTTCAAATCTTATCAAGGATAGGATTTCCACGAGGTAGGCTCCATGGGCTAAGGACGATGAAATTCCCTTATTAAGAATAAGGGAAGTGACTATAAATACAAAGACGACTCGGGAATAAGGTACACACAAAAAAACTCCTACCAAGCGAATTACAATTAAAATTCTCTATCGAGAATCCTTACTAACTTGATCGTCGGAGGGTCAACGGCCGGCACCACACCGGTGTTTGACTTTGCCATCCTTATTTTGCAGGAAACAGTGTCGTACTAGACCGCGGCAAAATTCAACCTCAACAGTTGGCGCCGTCTGTGGGAACAGTGATTCCCTTGAATCGATTTATTACTCGTTGGATATAGACGTTTGCGGTCCAGCATGGTTACCGAAGGAACACCGTCGCAGGGATTTGGTCAAAGGGAAGAGTCGGGTGAAAATCTAGACGTCCCAAATGACCAGATACGATTTGCAGCGTTGGAACTGCAGGTCCAAACTCTGAATCAGGATATGGACCAGTTGATCCAACAAAATGCAGCACTCCTGCAACACCTTGTTCCACCGGTTCAACAGGGCTTGCCACGCCAAGACCTCTCGAATCCAAACAGGGGTAATGGGAATCTGGAAGAGCAGGATACTCATCCTCCCCGACATGAGACCGAAGTTGAACAAAGCCAGGTGGGAAACCGACATAGAGAGGTGATCCACCCCTTTCTTCCACGGAGTTCCCGACCCCATGAAGACACGACTGTCATTGAAAAGACCGAGAAAATTTCCCACGTTGACCTAGAGATGCAGGATCTCAAGGCAAAGATGGAGGGTGTGATGCAGGCCATGAAGGGAAAAGGCATTGCAGCCATAGATGGTTTGGTGCAAAAGACCAATTTGCCATTTAGCCCCTCGGTTATGAAATGCCCTTTACCCAGTAAATTTAGAATGCCCACAATTGAGAGTTTCGACGGAACTAAAGATCCCCTCGACCACTTGGAGACTTTTCAGGCGTTTATGCACCTACACGCGATGCCGGATGAGATCATGTGCAGGGCTTTCCCAACGACTCTTAAAGGATCAGCACAGGTATGGTTCAACAAACTAAAGCCAGGAACCATCGAAACCTTTGAAAAATTGAGTAAGGGCTTTGTGGGCCATTTCATTGCTGGCCAGAGGCATAGAAGGCCGGCTACCCACCTCCTTACTGTGAAGCAACAGAAGGGAGAGTCACTGCGAGATTACATTAGTCGTTTTAACACGGAGATGTTACAGGTGGAGGAAGCGGATGACAAGGTGGCCCTAGCCGCCTTCATGGGAGGACTTCAAACCTCAAGATTTCTCTTCTCTTTATCAGAGGAACCTCCTACCAACATGGTCGAGTTATTGGTTCGAGCTAAAAGACATATGAATGCTGAAGATACAATGATTGCGAGAAAGGGAAAAGAAGGGGAGGATAAGAAGTCAGACAAGAAAAGGCCGGCCCTGACGATCAGAGATGAAAAGGAAACCAAGTATAAGAAACCCATGGTCAACCAGAACGAAAGGGCATCTCGCTATAAGAACGCGGAGAGGTATACAAATTATACTCCTTTAAATATGCCGATAAATCAAGTTTTCCTGCAGATCCAGGATGAACCATATCTGAAGTGGCCACCGAAGTTGAAGTCAGATCCGGCAAGGAGACCTCGTGATAAGTATTGCAGGTTCCATAAAGACCATGGGCACGCCACAGAGGATTGCTTTGACCTTAAGGATCAAATTGAGACTCTGATCCGAAGAGGGCACATGCGAAAATTTATTGTGGGGAATGACAGAACCGACATTAACCCACTAAGAGCAAGCCGAGACAACCACCCTCCTGATCAACAACCAATAGGAAAGATCAGGGTCATAGCCGGGGGGTGTGCAGGAGGTGGAGAATCGAGCTCAGCCCGTAAGGCCTATGCCAGGAGAATACGAAGCTCATCTGAGGTGTGCGAAGTAGGAGTACAGATTCAACATCGAAAGATGCCTCGTTTAGGTGATCCAGTTATTACATTCTCAGATGAAGACATGAAAGATGTGCAGCAACCTCATGACGACCCTCTTGTCGTCACCATGATGATCGCTAACTACAATACTCGGCGAATCTTGGTAGATAATGGAAGTTCAGCTGATATCATTTTTCTTGATGCATTCAGCAAGATGAAGATTGGTAAGGAGAAACTCAGACCTACCAGATCACCATTGGTGGGATTCACGGGAGACAAAGTCTATCCTCTAAGAGCAGTCATCCTTCCTGTCACTGCAGGAACCAGCCCAAAACAAGTCACTGTCATGGTCGACTTCCTGGTGGTGGATTGTCTATCTACTTACAATGTCATCCTAGGAAGAGCGACCTTAAATTCGATGAGGGCCATCACTTCGACTTATCACCTATTAATGCGCTTCCCTACCGAGCATGGCGTGGGCGAACTAAGAGGAGATCAGTCCATTGCCAGAGAATGCTATGTTGCCTCTCTCAAAGAAAAGAGACAGCAGGAGGCTTTGATTGTCGATGAAATTAAAGAGAAGGAGCAAGACCGGGCTAAGCCAATCGAGGACTTGGTGGAGATATGCTTGAATGACACTGACATAACAAAAAAGGTGAAGATAGGGTCTCTGCTCCCCTCAGATTTCACAAATATTCTTATACAGTTCCTCAGACAAAATCAAGATGTATTCGCTTGGTCACATGAAGACATGCCCGGTATTAATCCAACTACGATTGAGCATCGATTAAACACAGATCCTACATACAAACCTATCAGGCAAAAGCGAAGAACATTTGCCGCGGAAAGGAATATGGCTATATCAGAAGAGGTGAATAAGCTTATGAAAGCTGGTTTCATCCAAGAGGTTCATTATCCCGACTGGTTGGCCAATGTTGTTTTGGTAAAAAAGGCCAATGGAAAATGGAGGTTGTGCGTAGACTTTACCGATTTAAATAAGGCGTGCCCCAAAGACAGTTTCCCTCTGCCAAGAATTGATATGTTGGTAGAAGGGACAGCTGGCCATGAGCTGCTCAGTTTTATGGATGCATACTTAGGGTATAACCAAATCTCAATGCACATACCAGACAGAGATAAAACCTCTTTCATCACGGATAGAGGTTTATATTGCTATAAGGTGATGCCTTTTGGGCTAAAAAATGCTGGTGCAACATATCAGCGGCTAGTAAACCTGATGTTTAAGGACCAAATCGGAAGGAATATGGAAGTGTATGTGGATGACATGCTGGTAAAAAGCTTGAAAGCTCAAGACCATCTGGTTGATCTATAGGAAACGTTCCAAGTCCTCAGGAAACACCAGATGAAGCTCAACCCAAGTAAATGTGCCTTCGGAGTCTCCTCTGGGGAATTCCTCGGTTACATGGTAAGTAGAAGAAAGATAGAAGCTAACCCTGAGAAGGTCCAGGCGATTCTCAACATGCAGTCTCCAGCATCGACCAAGGAACTTCAAAGATTGGCAGAAAGGATCGCAGCTCTGAACAGGTTGATTTCCAGGGCGACCGATAGGTGTTTGCCTTTTTTCCGTGTACTCAGGAAAGCTTTTTCATGGACCCCTGAGTGCGAGCAAGCTTTTCCAGTGCTAAAGGAGTATCTCACTTCACCACCATTATTGTCGCGGGCGATGCAAGGAGAATAGTTGTATTTGTACTTGGCAGTTTCTCCGTCGGCAGTAAGCTCAGCCTTGGTCCGCGAAGAGGATGGAAACCAGAAACCGGTATATTATATCAGCCTTGCATTCAAGGGGGCGGAAGAAAGGTACCCAAGGATAGAAAAGTTGGCATTTGCTCTAGTTATCTCCGCGAGGAAACTCAGGCCTTACTTCCAAGCTCATACAATAATAGTATTGACGGACCAACCACTTAGGCAGGTTCTCTGCAAACTTGATACTTCAGGGCGACTCATGAAGTGGTCGGTAGAACTTGGAGAGTTCGATATCCAATACAAACCCCGAACGGCCTTAAAAGCCCAGGTACTGGCAGATGTTATAGCGGAATTCACACCAGAAGATGGGCCCGAGCATGCTGCAGATAAGCAGGAAGAAGCCGAATCTACTTGGACGTTATATGTAGATGGGTCTGTTAACGCCCGTGCAAGTGGGGCAGGGCTAGTAATTATCTCCCCAAATGGGGAATGCATCAAATATGCACTCAGGTTTGGTTTTAAAGCAACCAACAATGAGGCAGAGTATGAAGCCCTCCTAGCAGGCCTCAGGATGGCGAAAGCTTTGGAAGTTGAACGACTAGTAGCATATACTGACTCTCAACTAATAACTGGACAAGTCCAGGGGGAATATGAAGCCAAAGATGAGAAGATGAAGACCTATTTACATAAGATAGAGGATATCAAGGGTTTTTTTAAGAAGTTTTCTATTCACCGGATTCCCCGAGAAGAGAATGCGCAGGCAGACGCCCTGGCTCGACTGGCAACCACAGAGGAAGATAAAGCCATACCCGTAGGATATTTGGATGAGCCTAGCACGGTCTGGGATTGGCTACAGAAAATACACCAGGTGGCCCATGGCATGGAGTGGGCAGAACCCATTATCAGGTACATTGAGAACGAAGAGCTACCCCAGGACCACATGGAAGCATGAAAGATTAGGATGCGTGCGGCAAAATATTCCCTCGTTGATGGGGTTCTCTACAAGAAGGGATTTTCTCTACCCTACTTGCGTTGTGTCTCCATTGATGAGGCAAATTACATTCTAAAAGGCATACATGAAGGCCTTTATGGAAATCATGCTGGGGGCAGATCACTAGCGCATAAAGCTATCCGACAAGGATACTTTTGGGCTACTATGAGGACAGATGCACTTGAGTTTGTGAAGAAATGTGACAAGTATCAGAGATTCGCCAATGTCCCAAAATAACCAGCAAAAAAGTTAACCCCTCTTACAGGGCCGTGGCCTTTTGCCCAATGGGGGACAGACCTCATCAGCCCCTTACCCCAAGGGAAGGGACAAACTAAATACGTAATTGTGGCTATCGATTATTTCACCAAATGGGTAGCAGCTGAGCCATTAGCTCATATTGGAGCGAATGAAGTAAAAAAGTTTTTCTGGAAGACAATAATCTGCAGGTTCGGAGCACCAAGGGTAATTGTGATCGATAATGGGAAGCAGTTTGAAAGTGAGCAGTTCCTCGATTTTTGTAATGAACTTGGGATCAAAGTTCATTTATCCTCTCCTGTCCATCCCCAAACCAATGGGCAAGTTGAAGTCACGAATAGGACAATATTGAAGATGATTAAGACGCGCCTAGAAAAGGCCAAGGGCTTGTGGCCTGAACAACTACCCGGAGTTTTATGGGCCTATCGCACTACCGTAAGAAACCCTACTGGGGAGACCCCTTTTGGGTTAGCTTTTGGAAGTGAAGCTGTGATCCCGGTAGAAACAAAGGTTGCTACCTTCAAAACCAAGTATTTTGAACCTCAACAGAACGGGGTGGAACTACAATTAAACCTAGACTTGGTAGAAGAGAAAAGAGAGCAGGCCCAGGTCAAGGTTGCGGCTTACCAGCGGATGATATCCAAGTACTACAATGCCCGAGTCAAGCCAAGGAGGTTCGAGCCAGGAGACCTGGTGTTTCGCGAGGTTACCCCGGCTACTAAGGAAAAGGGGGAAGGAAAGTTAGCTCCCAATTGGGAGGGCCCTTATCGAGTAACCAAAAGCAACAGACCGGGGGCATACTGGTTAGAGTCACTTGGTGGGAGCCAGCTTCCCCACCCGTGGAATGTAGAACATTTGAGGAAATATTACCAGTAGGTACTCATGCCAGGCTGTGTTTTATTTTATTATCTCACTTTTAAAAGTGATAGAATGTCTTTAGCTACAATAAAGCAGACCAGTGTGTAACGGATGCTAATATTCAACTATCGATTATTATTTTCGATAGGTCTTTAACAAAATGGTTATTCGTATTTATTGCACGTGTTTCTACTGAATTTTATAAGTCACATAAGGACTAGTGACACATTAAGTCCACTTCTTTATTAAAAGAAATAAGTGACTTTCCCTTACTAAAGGGACGAGCTGGGTGAAGCTCGTAAAAATATGTTCCTTCGAAAGAAGGACGGGCTGAGTGAAGCCTGGGAAAATAAAATGAGTTCTGTATAAGGAAACAACAAGTATGAAACAATACCATGAAAGACAAAAGTAGAGCAACTATTCTCTGGAGTCAGAGATATTCTGAAAAGTTTTAAAGGAACAACATACTGAGAAATCAAAAAACCTAATATATATATATATATATATATATATATATATATATGACTAATACTACGGAATTCAATCTTCCTCTTCGCTCTCACTTAAAACGTCATACCTAGAAAAATCTATGTCTGGACGATTTTTGCCGACAAAAGCTTTGAACCGGTCAAAACCATCACAGCAAGCCTTGCCTATGAGCACCTTGAATTCATCAGAATTTTTAAAACTCTCCACGGCAGCTAGCTTCTCGAATTCTAGCTTATCAGAGTATTCTTTGGTAAGTTTCACTTTCTCATCTTGAAAGTTTAATTTTGCATTAGTCAAGTCGTCTTCTTTTATTTTAAGTGTAGAAGTAACATCTTCATATTTAGCCTTGAGGGAAGCCATCTCTAGGGAAAGCTTCTCGTATTCTTTGGCGATAACAACAGAATATGTAGTGCCCTATAAATAAATAAATAGTGGCGAATAGTTAAAAATAAATAAATAAACGAAAAAAAAAAAACAAAAGATATGCACATAATAAGGGTAAATTCTCACCTGGCTGATTAGATGAAGAAATTTCTTTGAAAGCTCAGATGCTGGCAGATTCTGCAATCTGGCAGTGTCGTCTTTTACTACCATTTTATGTAACATGTCATTCGCGACATTAGCATCATCGAGAACCGATTCCCCGTGGGAAAAAGGCTTGGTTGGTTGATACTGAACAAAAACTTTCGAAACTAGTAGGAACCCCACCAAATCCGCTGAAACCTAGAGGTACAAGAGTAGGACCTGATAACACTCCAGGGCTTTGCGGATGTACCATGATTCCCTTCTCCTACCCTTCGTAATTTTTTGGAAGCAGGATTAGAAGGGAGATTACTTGACCGGACTTGGGCTAGGAGTCTTTTACTGAGCTTCTTGCCTGCATAAAAAGTAATAAGAGAAATACTTAGTGAGATATTAACTAAAATCAGTAAGTTCACATATAAGTATCTTTGTTTTTCTTACCTTTCTCTAAGTGAGTGGAGGTTTCCTTTTAGCTATGAGCTCGTACATACAAATCTAAAGCCTCGTCAGTTATGAGATCGCTAAAGGTCTTCACTGGGTAAGAAGAGGCATTACCAACATTCTCGGCTTCTGGAATGGAGAGAGTTGGTTTGTCCTTAAATTCTGGGAAAAAGAATAATAAGTTGCACTAAAAAAACAAAATAATAATAATAATAATAATAAATATTTTCCTATTCATGAACAGTACCCGCGGTACTGTTCATGAACCGTACCTGAGGGTACTATTCCCTCGGGTGCAAAAAAAAAAAAAAAAAAAAAAAAATTCCTATTCATGAACAGTACCGCGGGTACTGTTCCCTCGGGTGCAAAAAAAAAAATATTTTCCTATTCATGAACAGTACCCGAGGGTACTGTTCCCTCGGGTGCAAAAAAAAAAAAAAAAAAAAAAAAAAAAAAAAAAAAAAAAATTCTTATTCATGAACAGTACCCGCGGTACTGTTCCCTCGGGTGCAAAAAAAAAAAAAAAAAAAAATAATAATAATAATAATAATTTGGAAACTATATACATATGAATCTTATCTGTTGGATCTGAATTATTCCAAACAGTTAGAAATTTCCCGTATGTACCGGAAATAAAGAAGAAACGACTCTTCCAACCTTTATTATTTTTAGGGGTTGGAACAAGGAGGAATGTCTTCTTTGATCTACACTGGAAGTATCAAAAATTGTCTTTTTTCTTCTTGGGATAATAAAAATGCATGAATTGATTTATTGTTAGACGGCCATTGCCACACTTTCCCCAAACAATCAAACAGCCTATAATAATTCTCCATGAATTAGGAGCAATTTGAGAAGGAGCTATCTTCAGATGAGAAAGAATTTTTTCTACAAATGGATGAATCGGAAAACGCAAGCCCGCAGCAAAAGTCGACTCGAAAAAACATACCTCACCCAAACGAATAGAAGAACATCTATCTTCTGGTTTGGGTTTGTGAAGACGAATAGATAAAGGAATGCAATATTTAACTCTACAACTCTGTAAATTCTCATCCTTAATTAAGGATTCTCCTTCACGAGGAGGTTGCTTGGAAAAAGCAGTCCTTGGTCTTGAGGAGTAATCAACACCAGATTCATCAGCATAGTCAGGATCGAGTTCTTCAACACTTTCAGAGGTTGAGTCCTCGGATTGAGATTCAGTATTCAAGTTATTTTTCTGCACGAACATGATGAGGTATCGGATATTGCGAAAATAGCGAAACCACTTTGGAATTACACCAATAACCCGGTAGAGACAACTTGACCCAATTACGTATCTACAACGATCCACAATAAACTCACAGTTAGGATCCAGTTTGGAGGATTTCAGACCAAAAAGAAAAGGAAGGTAAATAAATAAATATATTTATTTATAGGAAAGAAAATTCTTTTTCAAGTAACAATGAAGCTCTTATAAAGGAGTCCTACTACAATATGGAAGGGGCCTGTAGTAAAAAGGAAACAAATGGAATATAGAAAGTATTTCCTTGGTCCACCATGTACCCAGAAATAGGGGGCAACTGATAGGGAAAAATAACCCTAGCCTATCTTGACTTAACGAAAAAGGGAATTAAATATTGACCGGCCACCAGATTTCTCCAACTCTCAGACGATAATATCTTGTTATTAAGGATAACCATTCTATTAGATAAGAATGATGACAAATCGTATCTAGGATATGATTTGTCATGGGGTAAGTTCAAATCTTATCAAGGATAGGATTTCCACGAGGTAGGCTCCATGGGCTAAGGAAGATAAAATTCCCTTATCAAGAATAAGAGAAGTGACTATAAATACAAAGACGACTCGGGAATAAGGTACACACAAAAAAACTCCTACTAAGCGAATTACGATTAAAATTCTCTATGGAGAATCCTTACTAACTTGATCATCGGAGGGTCAACGGCTGGCACCACACCGGTGTTTGACTTTGCCATCCTTATTTTGCAGGAAACGGTGTCGTACTAGACCACGGCGAAATTCAACCTCAACAACATTCAAAATTCGAAATCCCAAATGGTGGCCAAATTGAACTTTGCTCTGACCAAAATGTAAGCCTTGACGCGCTCATTAACTTTGCCTTTTGTGCAAGATCAAATTCTGAGTGAAGAAAGAGAGATCCATCTTTGAAACTTTATAGAAAATAAAAATAAAAAGAAAAAATTAGAGGAAAAGAGAGTCTGGCGCGAGGGAGAGAGGAAACTGATGTTTGTGATGGTTATAAAGCCATTATAATGGCTTAGTTATATGGCGGGTTCCACTAATTTAATAAAAATCTCATATTTTCTTATAATATATAAATATACATTTTAAAACATTTTCAATCACATAATAACCATGCAAACACATAAATAAAGATC